TCACATTTGCTCGCATATGGCTACACATCCAAAAAGTTGTTGTGTTTTGCTGAATTCTCTGTCTCACACTGTATGGAAAAAGCATTGAGAAAATTTATTTCTTATTGAGAAAATTTATTTCTAAGTTTTGATAAAGAAGACGAGAAATTAGAGGAAGCTCGAAACCACGTTGGGTAGTTTGCAGAGAAGGTCATCGCATGTGGCCTCTGGTTTACCAAGAAATTGGCAGACGGTGTTATCCTTGTTGCAGCCCGCATGATCTGGGTCCTTGTCTCCCACTTGGTACAGAGGTGCGTGGTCAGGAACCTCTGGAAGAGAATATGCGAACAATAGACAACTTCCCTCGGAAACTATGCATATGTTTCTTACTTTTTATTGTAGACACAAATAAGCGAAGCGTGGATGTTACTTCCAGTGCCACATTCTTCATAATTGCAACCGACTTCGTAAATCTTATCATAGGCCAGCTGAAAACAGATTGTTTCTTTTCATGTGGACAGAAACAACAATACCAAATAAGTAACTCACATTGGCGAAAGTGTACAATTTGCTGTCACCGTACAAACTTTCCTTGTAACTGACATCACCCTGTATGGGATAATTCTCCGTTGGCAGAAGCCACTCGTCGATTGATTTACTTATGAAGTCATACTTTCGCTTTCTGAGATCGATTGGCTTGGTGCTAGTTACTTCTGGTACAGGGCCACTGAAAACAGCCAAAGCGCTTGTGGAGTTTGTAACGCCTGTAAAAGAGAATCTTCACTTTACTTACTAGTATACATTTTTGCCGAATTTTTTCATTTGCTTATCGGAATGAGCACAGTCTTGCGTCCGTTTCCTCGCCTTTGCTTCAAGGGTGCAGTTCCATCTCTACAATTTGGGAGAGTATTGAGCGTCGTTTTAGCGTAAACTAGCGAATTCATCGTAAGCTTTGACGTCTCGCTATTACTACTCGTGTTACGTGGATCTGACTCAATTACTGGAATCAATCTCACAGAGCTTTTTGATTAGAAATATGGTTTTTTGAATGAACTGTGAAAACATCCTGTCCCAAAACAGACCTACTAAGGGACATGGTCGTAGGTCTGTCTATAAAAATGCAATCTTTAGATGCATAATGTATGGTAATTTGGTGGCCTAAACGAGCAGAGGTGTGAAAATGGAGGAATGAGGAGACGTAGGCAAAGCGGTGAAAAACCAGCGAGTTAGTCACTAGCTCACCCAAAGGTCGAAGCTCCTAGGGCTCAAAGGCAATCCCTCCATCATGTAGGTGTTCAATCATGGACCACTACCTCATCAGTAATGCACCAGTAGGGAAAACCCAGTCATGGACCACTACCTCATCAGTAATGCACCAGTAGGGAAAAACGCAAAAAATCATGGAAAACTCTGAACAGAGAAAATCATGGAAAACTCTGAACAGAGACCCCACTAGCAGTGGGCGCTTCAGACGAGTTTGCCGGACGTTGGCAACCCCAATCAGCAAGATTCGAAGTGCAACCGATAGCCAGCAGCGCAGGAATTCACCCGGCAACGATATGTGTTCAAACAACTTGCCCCCGGCTGCATGCAAACAGCAGGTCTATAAAAAGACAGGCTGCATTGATGGAAAGCTTACAGTTAGCTGCATTCATGTGAAGCTTACAGTTAGAGTGCTGAAGGATTTCACACGTCCTTTGCCCGCCGCTTCGTTCTCCTTCCTGCTTGTTTAACTAACTGAGATTTTGAGGATAAGTCCTAGATGGCTTTGTGGTGAATTATGCCTCTTATCCCTGAGGGAATGGGCGTGGCATAAAAGTGCATAGGATGGGTCACTCGTAAGATATTTTGGGACAGGTGATATTGTTCTGTGTTGGACATGATTGCAACTGCTCCAAAATGGAAACATCTTACGAAAAGCTCAGATGCCGCCAGGTTCAGTTCGAGTAGGCAGCCAGATCTAGGTATCTAAGGGATTTTATTACGTAGTCTCGCTCTAACGCGTGGCACGAACAGTTTTCAAAGGACGTGAAAATCCATTCTTTCCCTTATCTTGTACAAGTTTACTGTTTTAAGGGAATGTACATATCGTACCATAGACTTTTAGTCAACACTGGATCTTGAGCAAAACACTTGAAGTGGACTACAAACTTACCAATTTGAACAAATTTTTCGCGGGTGGAAGGAAGCCAGTTTGATAACCTGGCGACTCTCCTAGAGCAAGTACATTTCGAGTTCCTTCGTGATAATATAGGATCTTATAGCGAGTGTTGTCGTCCATGAATTTTCCATGGTTCGGACAGGACTCTGTAAATACCGGGAGTTGCCCTTCCATAATCATCGTAACAAGAGGTATTTCCACTTTATTTCCACTTTAAACTGTTTCTTCTGAACATAGAAGGTTACAGTGGAAGCCCAGGCTCCCGATGTGAGCGAGAACATGGGCGCAGAGAAAATTTGGTCACATTTTCTCTATTATATGGAGACTTCTCCTCAATAACACTCAGTCCACTCTCGTCTTCGATAAGCTCTCCAGACCAAGGGTTCCCTCCTCATACGTCACGGTGATTTCCAGCGACTGAGGCTGTATGTCATACTTCCTCTTAGCGTGAATGAGCTCCTTGTGAGCGTCCGCCCTCTGCTGTGATCTGAGAGGATGCTATTCTTCCACCTTGCACACCACCCCTACTCCTCTGGTGCAGCTTCTCTCCGAATGCCGTGCTAAGAAGAGTATGATCGATAATCGTGCGGCATTCCCTCTCTTATCTTGCCCCAACTCATTTTGGAGGGCAAAGGAGCTTCGAGCATGCAAAGCGACGAGCACGCCATATACGCAAGAGATGTTAGGAGAGGTAAAAGCAGGGGTGATTAGTTACTCAGGATTTCTCGAAGTATAGCAAACGGCCCTGGTCACTTCTTCTTCTCCCTAGGGTTAGTCCCGCTCCCTGGTCACTAGCAGTTATAATCTCAGCAGCCCTCGCGCCGCGCGCGGCACTCGGTCTCTTGAAAAGTGCCGCTCGCATCCTCCAGTCGCGACGTATGAAAACGGTACGGCATCGTGGCAGACATCACCCAGGAATGTGATAGTTTGTCAGTGGTAGAAGAGGGTTGGAGACTGTTCTTCGGAGACATTTCTTCAAGCCACTAAGAAAATTTCTTCCATTGGTTAACGTCTCATACGCACTCAGCAGCCCACCGCCTCTCCGCTCCCTTCTGACTCGACGCTGGATCGCCGTTTTCTGTAGAAACTGGTTGAGATTCTGAAAAAAGGGTACAGAGGTGGACAAATGGTGCTAGATGGTCGTATTGATCGCAATTTGACCCACAGTCCCTGGATTTGTACGGGCTCTATCGATTCAAGGCTCTGGATGATGTTGGCTTCCCAACTCGTCCTATTTCACTATCGCTTTTCATGCTGATAGAACAAGCCACAGTGACAAGCCGTTAGATGGCTAAAGAGTGGCCGTTTCCCCCTCTTCAAAGAAACATAGCGTTAGGTAGCTATGTTTGTTGAACTGTAAATCTGTGTCATTTTACCATCAGTATCTCTTTCAATGAAGAAGAAAGACATACGTGTGTCTGGATTCTCATAATATCCGGTACATAAGCCGCAAAGGCTCAACAGCAGGATGCAGAGCTGGAAAGTTTATCAGATGATATAAAGTGAGCTGAAATTGTCCTAATCCACACTTACCGTAAGCATTGCCGAGGACTTCGAATGCGTGTCCTGGTCGAAGATGTGGTGCCTCATACAGTTACGTCGGGCTTTTATACGTGTATTGGATGTCAAAATCGGTTATTACTATTGTTATTATTTCCACACTTCACCATTAAACTCATTATTCATTCAAATTCCAGAAGGGAAAGGGCACTGACATGAATGAACCAAATGCTTTGTGGCAAAAAA